CGTACCCGACGACTGGAGCAGAAGGCTCACCTTCGCCTTTGATCGAGTGTCTGCAAAAAGTCGATCTGTTCAAAGACATGCGACCCCCTCGTCTCCTGGCATCGATCGATGTGAGGAGACAGATCAAGAGCAGACAGGCAAATACAAAAGGCTGTCTGTTAAGGAGAATGGCACATTGAGTCTGAGAGGAGATCAATACGGGGATTATGTATGCCTGCTGGAATATTTGTGTTTGACATTGATTGGGTTGATTTTGCATTTGATGGAAGCGTTGGTGCAATGAGACGGCCATGGTTTATAAAACAATCAAAATCACRGGCCGTGCTATAGATCAGACAGAGCCCAGAATGATCCAGAGAGCCTGCATTTAGAACAGACAGCCTTTTTCTAAAATGACATAAAAGCATGACATTTATATTTAAAAGGTATGCTTTAACATCTGCCACTGAAAGGCTTTCAGAAGACATTACAAAAGATTTGCTTGTTTTGTTTGATAAATACCAGAAAAAAAATCTCAGCTATAACAGAACATGAATCCTCCCTAATGGGGTCGTGGGTCTAAGTAGGCAAAAATTGGCTGTCTGTGAGGAGTCGAGCTGACCCTGTCAAATTATCATTGGTCCTAGACAGCCGGGGGCCTCGGAGATAAGAGGTGCCAGTTAAAAGTGTAAACACTGTCTAGACAAAGAGAAGAGCAGGATGTGTGTTTTTTTTTTACAAAGGCAGCCAGAGAAGAGAAAGCTTTGAAAGAGGGACACGTCTTTAAATCTGTTCAATACGCTGAAAGCTGTGCCATATTTTGTTTATTATTCATTTTATTTCATGCACTTTCTGATGAGAATGCTAACTGGTGAGGGCCAAAACAACTAAATGCAAAGTGTGGTTCRTGAAACTTGTGAGCCAACCCGATTTGGCTGCTGCAGTCCATATATTTCATGTGCTAGTAGCTCAAATTAACCAACAGGATCACGCAGAGATGCTCCTTTATGTGATTTGTAGACTCCTAAAAAGCTTCTGCTTGAATGCAAAAACCAAAAGATGAAACTCCAGACWGAAGATGAGGCTTAAAAACACACAGATATACAAAGACAGTGCAGTATCTGGCAGCTCGTGAAATCAAATGTGTTACCTTGTGCCACTTTTCAATCAATAACCCCAAAGTGTCCTACAGCTCAGCCCCACTATACAACACTGTGACAATCGATCTGTGGTTATTAAGTTTTTTTTTTACCATTCCTTAGCTATCCCACAAATCGAAGTAATATTATTTTCATGCTCGTCTCTTGGGGGGAAAGGCTTGTTCTATACCTCAAAGAGCTAAAAATCAACTACAGCCTCCTCATCTGTAAATATCATCGGCCCTAAACACCAGCAGGTCGCCGGCCTCAGGAGAAGCAGAAGCAGAAAATCAGTAAACAAATCACGGAGCCCTTCGAAGGATTGTGTGACCAAATTAATCTGTGCACGGTTGTCTTTCAGCCATGCTGATTTCGAGAACGGGGACTTAAGCTGGAAGAATCAACAGGGAGGAAAATTTGATGGTGTTTGATGTGGAAACTATGTGAAACTTCATTATAGCTGTAAAACAGGACTAAACGAGCTAAAGGGAGAGTGGGCATGATGCTATCAAACCAGAATGGACCGGTATGGAAGCTGGAGGTGGGCGGGGCGTGACGTTCCTTGTTTGGATTTAAAGGGGCAGCTTCAAAACGAGTTGTTCTGAGTCACACCTCAGAAAAGCAGTGAATGAGGGGCTTGTGGAGTTACACTAAGTAGTAATTCAGACTAAAGCTTTGCAGTTCCACTTTATATAGACCCCAACTGAAGGATTTAAATTAGTAAAAGAAGGATTAAAAAGCATCATATGTCTCCTTTAATGAAAGTCTGAAACAAACTGAAATAAAACTCAAATCCAACCAATAGAATTTGAACACTTAGGAAACTATAAATACTGAAAGCATGCTATTTTTATAAAAACTAAATGTTGTACAAATAACTACATACATGCAAACAGTGTTGTATAAAGTACCACAAAGTGATACTTGAGTAAAAGTACAAGTATCTAACCAAAAAATCACTTTGGTAAAAGTTTAAGTCTCCTTTAGGAATATTACTTGAGTAAAAGTCTTAGAGTATCTGATAGTTTTGGTACTTAAGTATTAAAAGTAAAAGTATTGATTTAAAATGAGCAGTTAGATTTTCTATAAAGGACATTTATTAAAACAATGCGGAAATGACTTGTATTAAAATAATTTATTGATGTTAAATTTAGGATGCACTAGTCCAGCTGTTTCAGTTTGTATACATATATCAAGGCTGAACAATCATTTCCCCAAAATGAAAATCTATCTGAGGGCTGCGGCCAAATGCAATAATATAATTTGTGAAATATAAATACTTCTTAAGTACAGTCCTTTTATTTTAATGATTATGTCCTGCTGGAGTGTGACATGATTTGTTTGTGTACAAACTAATACAGTATCAGAGTTTTATATATTTATACTTCTATTTCAACCACAATTAATTTCACTCTATAGGAGGCACAATTTATATGGATAGTATTTATTTTTTACAATAACACGCTGGAATGAAAACAAGCAAAAATGAAATTAATGACTTTCTACTTCTTGTCTTTTTTAAAAATGTAAGAAGTAAAAAGTACAGATAATTGTGTGAAAATGTAAGAAGTAGAAGTAAAAAGTAGGCTGAAAAATACTCAAATAAAGTACAATTACCCAAAAAATCTACTTAAGTACAGTAAAGAAGTATTTGTACTTAGTTACTTTACAACTCTGCATGTAAAGCTGTGCGGCTGCAGGATGAATCCGTAGCTTTCAGGATGAGTAGGTGTCACTGCACCACTTCTGACCGAGTCCTGAGACTCCTCAGCCTCTCCTGCCTGCTCTGAAATGAACATGCTCTGAGTAGAGGCTGTGCGGAAATGTCAGCAGTGTTATCTGCAGATCAGCAGCACAGATCAGAGACCAAGAACCACTGACACATTAACAGCTAAAATGTCAGCCATCTGCCACACACAGGAAGCTGAAGAAGCAGTTTCTCAGCAGCAGATGCAGCATCTCCTAAGAAAACTGTTATCAAAAGATTAAAGTTTCTCTGCTTTGATTGGTATAAAAATCTAAAACATGGCAACAAAATCCTTATTGATTTCTRTCTTCAAGCAACTTTACAAGATACATTTTATATTAACAACAGAAGTCAACAGTATGGTCAGTGTAACAATACTTCCTGTGTTAGGCTGCTGTCTCTCAGCAATACCGTTGCACAATTTCAATGAAACTAATTGATAACTTGGACATTTAGTACAGGAAGTAGGTAAGAAATTTAAWTTTTTTTTGTTAATGTCAGAAAACGTCACACAAACAGACAAACTAGCATTTAATTAAGGATGTAATGCAAATTGAATTTATATAAATTTGTGTTTCATATATAAAATGGGGTTGAAACATAATATTTTCTTGATATTTTGTCCAAATGTTATTTTTTACTTTTCCCCCTCAATTTATTAGAAAGAAAATATAAATTTTCTAAATAATATAATATTACTCAAAAATTAGTCTTCTTATATTTTAAAGTAGACATATGACACTTTTAAATCCTACTTTTTTCACATTCAACTCATTCAGCTGGGGTTTTTATAAAGTGGAACTACAGTGCTTTGGTTTGAGAGAGGGTTAGCATTTTGTAGCATGCAGAAACATTTTATTTATAATTTAATTAAAGGATGTCAGCAACAGAAGACTTGTCCATYCAGCCTTACATGWTGGAGCCAGARTCTGACCCAGAACCAGAGGAGAATTAAGACGAGGAAATTGTAGTTGGTAATTCAAGACCTTTTGTCAGTTTTGTTGAAGATAATTTGATGTAATAGTTCAGAAATCAGAGAAAACAGAGGAAACTAAACAGATGGAAAAATATGACCCAAACAGAATAAACGATATCTTTGTAGCACCAGGAGATACTAAATTCAACTTTTCTGCCTCCTAGAGACACAAAATCCACAAAACGTATTTAGCAGCTAAAAAAGTTAATTTTGCACAATATGTCCCCTTTAATGCAAAATATATAAAATATTTTCAATAATCTGGAGATGTCAAAATCTTAAATAAAATGCCATTCTATATCTGTGTTTGTGCAACAAAAAGGTTGGTGTAATAAAAGCAGCTGTGAAGGAAAAACCTTCAAATAAGGCTTTTAATGTGGATTTTTACCAGAATCTAATGAAACCACAATTTAAAGAGAATGACATAAATAAAAAGTAAACAAATAAATAGTACCATCCAGTGAGAGGCTCTTCTGCACAAAAAAAACCTATAAAAGCTACACAGCCGCAGCATGAAAACTAAATTTTGATGTTTTTCAACCCACCCCYAGAATCCCAATGACCTGCCTAAGCATTATATGAGTATTTATACTTTTCCCCCACACACTCACCAGATCTCTCATCCAACAAAACACATTTAGAACGTGTTTGCCCTCGAGACTTCCAGCAGAAAGTGTGGAAAACAAATTATCTAGCAACTCTGTGATTCTGTCGCGCTAACGTCGACCCCAAACCACAAGTTTCACCACCCTGCTGGATATGTTGTTTCACAAAAAGGTGCTTCTTATAAAGTGTCTGCAGTGGTGTCAGAAGATGTAGATGGTCTATGCGCATTGCTGCCACCAGTACAAACTACTGGAGGTTTGATCGTGACTCACTGTTCTACTTCAGGTCATTTACACCCACAAACCCAGCGATCCTTTTCGACTTTTGCCCCAGTCGTGCTTCCTCATCCATTCCTTCCCTTTGGCTGCAAGTGTTAAAAGCATCAAAGATTTACAACCTATCGGATGTCCGACTCTTCAGACAGATGAGCAGATCTGTCAGAGCTTTATTAACTGTCAAACTGATGATGACTAAGTGGAAACAGAGGGAGAAAGCGCAGACCAAAAGCAGAAAAAGGAAAGACAAAAGAAAAAAAAAAAGAATTGACACATACTTGAAGCCTGGCGCCATGTTGGCACAACTCCCAGTGCGAAGCCAGATGCAGTAAGGATCCCGCGAGGCCAGGCAGGCTCTGGAGAAAAACAAAAGGGTAATTTTTTTTTTTTTTTTTTACTTAAAGGGGCAATATCATGTAAACTCAACTTTTTAGAGTTTTATATCATGTTATAATGTTACACTCTCATAAAAAACATGCCCAAAGCCTTGCTCTGACTCATTCATGCATGTTTGAGAAATCCTGCAGTGGTTTTGAAGCCATGCTGAGGAGCAAAACGACAGGTGGGGACCAGAAACGCCTTTTGAAACCAGTAACGCCCCTGGGACGTGTGTTTAAGCCGAGCTTCCTCRTGGCAGAGAGCACCCCCCTCCTCCCCMCACACCCTGCCCATGACTCCTGCAGGCTCTCRGGTGAAACTGAAAGTGAAACTTAAACTCTCTGCTGAGCTCTCAGCATTAGTTCTCACTCAGTGAAGCTCTTTTCAGATTAAAAATACCTTTGAGGAAATGTATTTTCAGATGCCAAGTAAACTGCATCATGACAGACCAGCCCCCCACCCCCGCAATCGCAACAGGAACAGAGAGAGCCTTGTTTTACAGAGCGTGGTGCAATTCCACGCTCTGTAAAGCAAGGATAAATGAGAAGCTAAAAGTTTAGCACCAGTCATTTAGGAGGAACAAGGTAAATATATGTTTAATGAAGGTGTTAATGTCATTTAATTTTGGAAATGGAAGAACAATGTCATTTTCTTTTATACATGTTTGTTGCAACAGTTGTCATGTTGGTCGATGGATGGAAACATGTTGGAAAAGTTTAAAATAAAAGACACCTTAACCATTACTAAAGCTCATCTTCGCTCATCTGGCTTTTATGCAGCTCTACAGTCATAAAACTCTGCCGTTGCTCCAAAAATTGCTACATTAATAGTTCTATTAAGAATCTGCAGCAAATGCATAAAGAATAATCAAAGATCCATTAGGAAATAATTGATTGAAATGCACATCATCGAACTGCGGTGCAGTTAAAAATGGATCAGTGACGACACCTTTCTTTYGTTGAAATAAAGACATCATTTTAAACCCTGGCCCGGTCCTTAAACACTGAACTTTTAAGGAGTCCTCTACAAAACCAAAGGCACTTTTGAAACCACGGCTGCTTGTTTCAGACTAAGTGGACGTTCATAGGCCAGCAGCTAAGCTAGTCTCCGCTTAGAGACCGTGAGACGTCGTCCTGTCTCCTCGGGTTTTACATAAACACACACACAAACTGTGACAGCTGCTGCCATTTTGAAGTTGAAGAAAACCCTCAGCGATACAAAGAACAGTCACTTTGAGTTCCACACCAGTTTATTCCTAATGTCTGYCATTCACACACAAACACAGAAGTACAATTCACAAACACACAGTGACATCAAGGCCAACTGAGTCAAAGTCTGGCTGTCCAKGTAATTACAGAATCTACCAACTAACCCAGTAAAATAATGTTTGACAACATATTTTAAAAGTGCTGGGTATTGAGATCATTTTGAATTTATTTACTTTTATTAAATTTCTGCTGTCGTTAGTGGGAGTGGCTGTGATTTAATTTAAGCCTCTGTCTGTGGGGGTCTTGTGAAGATGTTTCTTTATTAATGCAGTTTGAAATGTTTAACTATTGTCTTGTCAGGTCAGTTAAACTTTGTGATTTTGTGGAGACTGTTGAATAAATCTGTAAGCTTATGGAGGCCCAGAAGTCCTACTAGTTGTATTTTTAAYTGACTAAAATCTTTCCTTTGTGAACATTATTTTATACTTTTTAAAATATTGTATCAGTAAGTACTGTATATACAACTATTCTAAGATATATTAGTAAAAAATTCATTAAGGAATTTCATATAGCTCTATAAAAAAGTTCACTTTGAACTGTACTATAATTAGATTGGGCATAGTATTGCTGCTTTTTCACAGCTGGTGATAATGTGTGTTATTCATGACTAATGGTAGATAATTTCAATCCAAATTGTATTTTTCAAGTCTTTACAGAATGAAACTTAATGTCGCCACTTTCACATTTATCACATCTGAAATTCCCCTTATTTTTGGTTCCAGATCGAAACCATTTTTCCACGTCTGTAGCTGTGCGAGGAGATAAATCAGCAGGAAAAAATACAATACTCTGACTGGGAACACACTCCGTCTTTGCGTGATGGAGTTACAGCTGGTGGAAGCCACTCTGCGCTCCTGCAGCTGTTGCCACACCAGACTGGCTGGCTTTCATTCATCCTACTCAGTAATTAAAATGAGCCTGATTAATGTCAATGTGTGTATGGGAGTGTGTGCATGCATGCGTGCATATGTATCACTCTCGAGTGATGAAAGTGCTCTAGTTTGGGCAGTGAGCTCTGCTCATATCAGTCTAATGAAGTCTATAAYAAGGTTCTTTTTCTCTCCATATTTTACTTTGCAAACGTTCAACATTCCCCAAGAACACTCATTTCTWTATTTATTATGTTGACAAATAAGGCATAGTATTTTAATTTTAGAGATTTTCTTCATTCTTATTTCTGGATGTTTTTCAGGAGATTGTCAAATTCAGAAACATCATATTTCTCCCGCTAAAAATGGCAGCTTTGATTTAACATCACAGACTTGTGGAACCAGATTTCAAAAAGCTAGTTCCTTACTTTTTACAGGCTCCGTGTTGGGTGCAGCGGCTGAGAGGAACTCTTATGACACAGCTGGTGAACGCTACAAACAAGGCGTGGTGGTCTTTATCCAGCTCCAAGCCCAGAACCCTCCTGTCCTCCTGACCCTGAACRTTGCATCTGGACGAAGAGAAACGCCGTTTATTCACAGATTTATATTTCAGCTGCAGCAGATTAAAACAGTCAGAAGAGCAATACTTTGACGGGTTGTAGACGTCGATGTCCTCCAGCAGTTTGGATCCAAAGCTGTCGTTTGGATGGGTGCTAGCCAACACTTTGAGGACTCGTCCATCGTCTGAGCCCAGGAACATCACTGTCCGGTCCTTGTTAGGGCCGGCTGAAACGTCCACCACAATCTGGGTCAACTTGGACCTGAGAAAAAAAAAAGAAATATTTTATGCTTCTAAATCAAATCCTTCAGTTGGGGTCTATATAATGTGAAAGGCAAGGTCTGAATTCCTCCTTATCGTAACTCCACAAGCCCCTCTTTCACCAAAAAGATTCCTCGGCATGTTTGAAGACATGTTGGATATTTCTGCTTCAAATTCTCATTAACAAATGCTACARATGTATTTTAATATTGAGTTAGTTTGATCATATTCAGTTCTCTCTACTGCACCCACGTATGTAATAATCCGTTAATTAAACAATTATGTGGTGGTCTGATCTCTGCTTTGCTTCCTTTATTACTTTTTTCCAACCTTCCGGCACATAAAACACACATTAAAGCAAAAACAACAAATCCACATTCATTTTTGCCCCCCGGTGCTCTGGCTGTTCTACTCACTAATGTTATATAAGAGAGTCAGCAGATCTCTGAGGTGCTCCTTGGATATCCGCATCATCATTATCTGGGTCAGTTTGGACCTCTTCGGCAGAGAGGCTAATTTGAACATGGAATTAAGAATCTCATTCTCGTTTCAGACTGGTAATTAGAATCCATCAGAAACTCATTTCAAATCTGCAGGCGGAGATTAAAAAGGTCATAGAATTTCAGAGCCGCGGAGTCCGAGGGAGACAGAGCGAGAACTTCCTGTGAGCCAGCCACTAATCATGGCTGATACCGATGATTATCCTCAAGGCTTTCAGGTCAGCGTGGCGGATTCACTGCCTCTCAGAGACGCTGTCATTTCCTAACTTACCTCTTATGGGTACACTTTGCTTTCACTTCGTTCTTCCTGACCTTTTAGAACTTGTTCTGTATTGTCCCAGTTCTTCCAGGAGTATTTCATTCAATCATTTTGAAGGAATTTATTAGTTAGTTAGATACTGATTTAAAGGCACAGTGTGTAGGATTTTGTCAATTCTTTTAGCCGAAATTGAGATAATCACTAATGACAATAATAAGAAACATGTCTAATCATTGCAGACAACGACCTTGTTTTGTTGTTTTTACCTTATAAAAAGCTGTTTATATCTCCATGGTCGCGGGTCGCCACTACAGGCAGCCGCCATCTTTTCTACGAAGGCTCATGAAGGACAAACTGCGGTGGCGGCGTCAAAAACAGTTTTAGTTGTAATACTATAAATGTAATATTTGTTGTCTGTCATTGTAGCTGGGATAATTTTACTTATTAAAGCTCATAATCTTACCACTTGAAACATCACTAGCCCTGAAGCTGCTGGTAGACATCGCGGTTGGAATCAAAGGTTTTTGACACTTGAGAGACACCATAGCAACTCCTTTGCGTTTGGAAGCAGGGTGTGGGAGTGGGGGGAGGACCAGGGAGGATGAYTCAACCACTCAACCACTAGATGTCGCTGAAAACAACAAATCCTACACACTGTGCCTTTAAAGCACCACACCATTTGTCTTAGTTTCCTTTTTTAAGGCTTGACTTTTATAATCTATTGTTTGACTATTGTAATGTCCTGATTAAAATAGCTTTAGATACATGCCCAAAACAACTCATAACAATCATGACAACACAAAGAAAAAAACGTTATAAATTCATTAGGAAAGATTTTTTTTCCTGTACGAGTTGCCTGCAATTCAGCCGTAGGCCTGTAGTGGGTGTACAAGGCACTGAAGATCCCTGTATAAAAAGACCAGAACTTCCGGTTTCGGACAGCRTTGCTGTGATCGCTTCAGCGTAAGCAATAAAGCTCGCTCATAAACCAGATCTGGGTTGTATGGTTCCATTCACTTCACATTTTAATCTATTCAAAGTTTATGTGGTTTTGTCGCGATTTCAGTTAACGAACACGAAATATTCTTACAGTTATCTTGATGAAATAAAACAGAATCTTGCTGCTCATTGTGGCAGTCGGTGGAAATAACACTTACTGTGCTTTAAAGTTCAATTTGACTGGAGTTCAAAAACTTATTTACACCTGTAGATGCTTATTTTGGCTTAAAAAAACGAACTCTTCAAGGTAAAGAAGCTTTCAGTCAAATGTGTACTGTTGGTGTACAACAGAGAATATGCTGCTTATCTTAAGCAGCAGAATCCATTCCTTATATTGTTTACAGTAGGTGTTGTGTCTTTCAAAATTCTCTTTTTGCCAGAAAATGACAATCTTAATGGTAGACTGCATGCATAACCTGGCAACTTTTAATGATCATGTAATATCTTTTCCTTGCCTGTTTTCTATGAAAGACTTTAAAAAGTTCTTTTGTCCCCCAAAAATATTCAACAGCGTTATTGGCAAATGTAATGATACAGCCTAGCTGAGCAGAGTGCAGGTCCTGTGGCCCTAAAAATAAAAGTATTTGCTTTGAGGAAGTGATGATTTTGTAAAGTTTAATATTTCTCTGCTTGAACACTGGTAGGCAGTCTTAAAATTTGACCAATTTAAGTGTTAAAACAGTGAGCTTATTATACCTTATACCTTATTATACCTTACAGTGAGATATTATACCTGCTGGATGTTCTGGTGAAGCAGGGATGGTCGTTGACTGAGGGTACAGCTTCGTCCATCAGAGGATAGGACTTGATGAAGGTCAGCATCTCGTCAGGAAACTGTACCGACGATTTGTAATCTGAAGCTTGACCATCGCCCGCACAGGTACCGGGCCTGGAGATGAAGACAAACTGTTACAACTAATCTGCTTCAAAACATCTGATACAGAAAGAAACACTGATTTAAAGCAGCCAAATCTAAGTTCTCACCTCGGTCTGGGAACGTTCTCGTCGGGTACTGGAGTCCAGGATGAGTCGCTGGTCCTCTGCTCTTTGAACTTTCCATTGAAGACTTTCTCAATATCATCCATGTAGAAGGCACAAACTGCTGAGCCGGGGATACTGAAGAGAGAAAAACTCTAAATCAAAATTATTCTGTCGAAAGGATCGATGATTTCAAAGGAACTCCATGAAAAAAAAATGCTGAAAGAAAATTGGTCATGTTCGGAAAAACTCTCAAACCTGCTCTGACTCGGTAAACACAATCAAGGAAAACCGAAACTGGGAAAAACACAATCGTCAAATCACATCAAGAAATTACTACAAGGGAGGCGAAGCAGTCGAGAAAGAGCAAGAACATCCTTCCATTCAAAAAAACATGCATTATGTCCATCAAACTCATCATATGTGAACCTTCAGAACACTTGAAAATATAAAACGCTGATTGGTCCAAACTTCTGCCTTGACCATAAATACTTAAGCAAAAAAAAAAAAATCGAACTAACTTGCTTCAGAAAGGCTCTAATCTCCTCTGCTGAGTTTTAGACCAGAATCCATTTATCAAATCTAACTCTTAAATAACCTCAAATAGTGCAAATGAAGACAGACAGGACACTGGAGACATTTATAGAGAACCAACCCCTTCACCTTTGAATCAATACATCATTTTAACACACTGAGAAGCAACTGAAGAGATGAGTTTCCTGAAACATTAGGAGTGCTTTAAAAAAAGTATGCACAGAGAGGGGGGACGCCAGGGAAGTGAGAACCCACCAGAAATTTCTTTTGCATTTTATGCAAATCGCTACCTATGAAGACCCGTTTTGACATTTTATTATCCCTGACCTAAATTTTAGCATGGACCCACTTCCAACATGAAATCTTAAACTAAGTCCCAGGAGGGAGAACCTGTCCACCACGTGCCCAGATTTTAAATGATGTCCTCATTTCCATAAATGTCTCTGACTGAAAGAAATGGCTTTGCTTCCCAACAATTACCAACAAAAAAACTACCCCGCGAAGAATAAAAAGTCCTCAAACAAAATTAAAAAAAAAATAAGACCCTGGTTGTTTCAATGACAGCTTTAACAAAAATATTAATTATCATTTGCATCATATTTGTACCCAAAAATAGAATTTTCTTCTTTTTTTTTTCATGCTTGGTAAAATGTTATCACTTTAAAATCAAATGCCTCATTTAATCCTTCCTAATTTATATGCAAATGTTTTTGTAATCATATTTTGCGTCAACGGACGTGATGAAACATTTTAATTTAGAGATGTTTCAAAAAAACATGTCCCTTTTCTAAAAATAATCAGCCTCACTAAAAAGTTCGAAGCAATCATCAGAAATACCAACATCTATTGCACGTCTTCGAGACGTTACCTGTTGGCCTGAGTGGTGAAGACTCCGATAACTGCAGGTCTCTGATTGATCTGCAGCACATTGGTGAGAGACTGAAGAACATCAAAGTAAAAGAAGGAGTCTCCAGGAACTGAACAGTTCAATCGAGCCTGAACACACACAGACACACACACAGTGTTTGTTTAAAGATAGATACACAGCCTGAAGTGTCCTGATACATTAAGATAGCTAACCGATTAGGTCTTTTTAAATG